GTAGGATAGGGTGTGGCATGGTGAGCCTTGGCACTTGCTGGGAGGGGGAGTGGAAAAGGACCCGACAGTCATCTGAGAGGAGACTGGGAGACTGGTTAAGCAGAGTGGAAGAGGTAGAGATTGATATCTGCGAGACTGACGGAAAAGAACAAAAGATAGCAAAAACTAATCTTACTGAGCTGAGAGATCGAGGGAGAGTCTCTTACTGAGCTGAGAGATCGAGGGAGTCTCTCTTACTAAGCTGAGAGATCGAGGGAGAGTCTCTTACGGAGCTGAGAGATCGAGGGAGAGTCTCTAACGGAGCTGAGAGATCGAGGGAGAGTCTCTGAGCTGAGAGATCGAGGGAGAATCTCTGAGCTGAGAGATCGAGGGAGAGTCTCTGAGCTGAGAGATCGAGGGAGAGTCTCTGAGCTGAGAGATCGAGGGAGAGTCTCTAACTGAGCTGAGAGATCGAGGGAGAGTCTCTTACTGAGCTGAGAGATCGAGGGAGAGTATCTAACTGAGCTGAGAGATCGATGGAGAGTCTCTAACTGAGCCGAGAGATCGAGGGAGTCTCTCTAACGGAGCTGAGAGATCGAGGGAGAGTCTCTAACGGAGCTGAGAGATCGAGGGAGAGTCTCTAACGGAGCTGAGAGATCGAGGGAGAGTATCTAACTGAGCTTTAGATCGAGGAAGTCTCTCTCTTGCTGAGGAGGGAGAGATAGTGAGATGACGGAGAAGTGAAGCAAGATGAAGGTAGCTACACACAGACGTGAAGGCAGGGGTAAAAGGGAGGTTGAAGGGAGGAGGAAGAGGTTCAACATCAAAGGGAAAGAAGACATTGAAGGTAATGACGCTCGAACGTCGACCAGTGCAGAGACGACTACTCATAATTTGAGACAAATGAAGGAATGATGGACATGGAAGATGAGGTGGGGGGGGGGGGAGGGGCGAAGGTAAGATGAGGAATCAGGGAAGGATGAGGCACCACCACACACCCGGTGCTGGTCGAGGGGGCCGGTCGGCCGAGCGGACAGCACGCTGGACTTGTGATCCTGTGGTCCCGGGCGCCGGCGAAAAACAATGGGCAGAGTTTCTTTCACCCTATGCCCCTGTTACCTAGCAGTAAAGTAGGTACCTGGGTGTTAGTCAGCTGTCACGGGCTGCTTCCTGGGGGTGGAGGCCTGGTCGAGGACCGGGCCGCGGGGACACTAAAGCCCCGAAATCATCTCAAGATAACCTGGCCAACACCGTTGATATAATAGGGGAGAAATATCGCATTATGGACAACGGGGAACAACTGAAACGAATAATCCGCACGCACACGCACATACGCGCGCGCACACACACACACGCAAATATTCCCAGCTAACGCAAGATGCAGCATCCCCCCCCTCCCAAGACCACATATACCATGATAAACATAAAAATTTAGCCCTAACACAAATCACATCATTTCTTATTTGCCAATATAAAGAAATACAAAATGCAAAAAATGTCTGTTTCATAACCTAACTGATCCAGAGGCAGTATATGAAGTCTTCAACAAAACTCGCATAAAAAGGAGCCCAATCACTTAAGCTGGTGAATATGTTCCCAGTTCAATTAATGATTAATAATTAAGGGCGATCAGTTGCCATCTAAGAGCGCCACCTGTTGCCAGCTGAGAGCGCCACCTGTTGCCAGCTGAGAGCGCTACTTGATGCCATCTGAGAGCGCCACCTGTTGTCATCTAAGAGCGCCACCTGTTGCCATCTAAGAGTGCCACCTGTTGCCATCTGAGCGCGCCACCTGTTGCCATCTAAGAGCGCCACCTGTTGCCATCTAAGAGCGCCACCTGTTGCCATCTAAGAGCGCCACCTGTTGCCATCTGAGAGCGCCACCTGTTGCCATCTAAGAGCGCCACCTGTTGCCATCTAAGAGCGCCACCTGTTGCCATCTGAGAGCGCCACCTGTTGCCATCTAAGAGCGCCACCTGTTGCCAGCTGAGAGCGCTACTTGATGCCATCTGAGAGCGCCACCTGTTGTCATCTAAGAGCGCCACCTGTTGCCATCTAAGAGCGCCACCTGTTGCCATCTAAGAGCGCCACCTGTTGCCATCTAAGAGCGCCACCTGTTGCCATCTAAGAGCGCCACCTGTTGCCATCTAAGAGCGCCACCTGTTGCCATCTGAGAGCGCCACCTTTTGCCATCTAAGAGCGCCACCTTTTGCCATCTAAGAGGGCCACCTGTTGCCATCTAAGAGGGCCACCTGTTGCCATCTAAGAGCGCCACCTGTTGCCATCTAAGAGGGCCACCTGTTGCCATCTGAGAGCGCCACCTGTTGCCATCTAAGAGCGCCACCTGTTGCCATCTAAGAGCGCCACCTGTTGCCATCTAAGAGCGCCACCTGTTGCCATCTAAGAGCGCCACCTTTTGCCATCTGAGCGCTTGTATACTAAGAATTTTGAGCAGCTTACGGCCACCTTGAAATTACCCAGACTCATAAATCCTAAACCCGTCGCCCCCAAAAAACTGGACTATGTAGTTAGGGTTGAACGTTCATAATGAACACTTTATGAGTTCATAGCTTAAAAAAAATGCTTAAAGACAAACAAAATCACATCTGAGCATTAGATATCAAGCATTTTAACATTAAAGAATATAATTCTGATATCTTTTTCTCCGATTCTACAAGCTTTGTTTTAATTTACAGCGCGTAAGAGTTTGTGTGAGAGTCGCCCGTAAGAGGCGGGCGTAAGAGGGCCCGCGTAAGAGGCCCCGCCTAACAGGCCCGGCGTAAGAGGGCCGGCGTAAGAGGGCCGGCGTAAGAGGGCCGCGTAAAAGGTCGGTTCTTATATCAGAATACCACACAAGAAGATAACCCCCCTTATCAGAGCATCTATGGCTTGTGCCAACAGGCTGCTCATGATGAATCACCCCCTTACCCACGTGATGAATGGCTTATGCCAGCTGCCAGTTGATGAATTAACCTTCCAATAACCACCCGAGGCACTACTGGTGTCAACTGCCTTCTCGTGGCATCTTTCTTTTGGCTTGAAAACGGTAACCAATCATGTCCCATTAACCACAAATTAATGGCCGGATGGTACTTTTGTCGGCAGATTACAACTGGCTCTGATACAGGTGTGTCACGACACACCTGGCATCACGCAGTATATGGTCCAGGTGTGTGTGGCCAACGCCAGTATTCAATAACTATTTATGCGCTCGCGTACGAAACCTGTTCATCTTTTTCTAATCGCGGTGGCGTAGTTGACATTCGCTAAAACAGTTTATACACGCCGCGAAACGCATCAATGTTACAAGCAATAACAATAAACTCGAGTTGCGAAACTCGCGAACTGTTTAATAAAGGCTAAGTATAGTCAAGTTTTAATAATAAAGATAAACAGGCTTCGTAGGATTACTCGTAAATCCAGATCCATGAATCCAGCTCCAGGGAGCTACAGACACAAGCAAGAAAATCTCTGACAATGAGATTTTGTTGCTCATTGCTTTTTACAATGAGAAATCTCTCTATATAGAGAGAGATTTCGATGAGCAAAATAGTGTAAATACAGAGAAGACAAAATATTATTTGGATTTAAATCAACGTCTGATGGAAAAACATTTTGAGCTGAGAGACGATACGGAATGTTTAGTGTGTCAAGACATGGAATGTTTAGTGTGTCAAGACATGGAATGTTTAGTGTGTCAAGACATGGAATGTTTAGTGTGTCAAGACATGGAATGTTTAGTGTGTCAAGACATGGAATGTTTAGTGTGTCAAGACATGGAATGTTTAGTGTGTCAAGACATGGAATGTTTAACGTGTCAAGACATGGAATGTTTAACCTGTCAATAGAAGGCAAGGAATATTAAGTGGCAGAACTGAAATGTTGAAGCCATCACGACCTTTAGCTCTTCGTGTTATATATATATATGTGTGTGTGTGTGTGTGTGTGTGTGTGTGTGTGTGTGTGTGTGTGTGTGTGTGTGTGTGTGTGTGTGTGTGTGTGTGTAATGCCAAAAATCCACAAATTCGACTAAAATAGCAGGGTTGAACTCACAAAAAAAGCATCAAAAAGCAAGAAGGCATCACAATTAAAAGAGTCCCATAAATAAGCACAGAAGCACTTGGCACAGCCATTAGTATGCGGCGCCGAAGGAGCGACACAGATTACACCAGGCCTGTATATTGTGGTGTGGACGATAACACCCGACCAATACCAGTAATTAACACACAGTGGAGATAGACTTGAACCGGAGTTGATGGGGGAGGGTTTAGGATGGGGGAGGAGGGTTTAAGGGGGGGGGGGGGGTTTGGGTAGTGTGAGGCTGTGTGTGTATGTATTTACCTAGTTGTGCTTGCGCGGGGGTTGAGCTCTGGCTCTTTGGTCCCGCCTCTCAACCCTCAATCAACTGGTGTACAGATCCCTGAGCCTACTGGGCTCTATCGTGTGTGTGGGGGAGAGGGAGTTAGGGATGCTGGATAGGGAGGGGGGGTGGGAGTGGGTTGTAGGGATAGGGGGGATGCTCAGTTTGGGAGGAAGGGGGTAGACGAGAAAGGTGCAGGAGGAGGAGGAGGAGGAGGAAAAGAAAGTAAATAGTTCATTAACATACCACACCCAGGCTATAATTAATTATTCTAATCATTGTGGGATGCGATATAGCATCTTCTTGCCCTCCCCTACCCCCCCCCCCTCGTTAGTTCCGTCTTCTAATCTCTCTGTTTTTGTCGATTCTTTCTTGGTGGGGTTGTGTGTGTGGGGGGGGGAGGCGGTTTCTGGGGTGTTACAGGGGGGGAGGGGTCTTGATATCTGACACATTCAACAAGGCTCACATTTACACTCTGATAATCGAGTTGCTAAACATATTTTACGAGGATACTAATTTACATTTACAATGTCATTATACAATCTTGTATAATTCAGATCCTTCCCCTGTATTTACTAATTTTTTTTACTGGGTATTTACATCATTAGTCTCCGGATATTTAATTGGGTCCTCACTACACGCAAGTCCTCTAGAGGACTTTAATGAGGAGTTATGAGGCCACTTACAGCACTTGTATCAGGCCACTTACAACACTTGTACCAGACCACTTGCAGCACTTGTACCAGACCACTTACAACACTTGTACCAGACCACTTACAGCACTTGTACCAGACCACTTACAGCACTTGTACCAGGCCACTTACAGCACTTGTACCAGGTCACTTACAGCACTTGTGCCAGGCCACTTACAACACTTGTGCCAGACCACTTACAGCACTTGTACCAGACCACTTACAGCACTTGTGCCAGGCCACTTACAGCACTTGTACCAGGCCGCTTACAGCACTTGTACCAGGCCACTTACAGCACTTGTACCAGGCCACTTACAGCACTTGTGCCAGGCCACTTACAGCACTTGTACCAGGCCACTTACAGCACTTGTGCCAGGCCACTTACAGCACTTGTACCAGGCCACTTACAGCACTTGTGCCAGGCCACTTACAGCACTTGTGCCAGGCCACTTACAGCACTTGTGCCAGGCCACTTACAGCACTTGTGCCAGGCCACTTACAGCACTTGTGCCAGGCCACTTACAACACTTGTGCCAGGCCACTTACAACACTTGTGCCAGGCCACTTACAACACTTGTACCAGGCCACTTACAGCACTTGTGCCAGGCCACTTACAGCACTTGTGCCAGGCCACTTACAGCACTTGTGCCAGGCCGCTTACAGCACTTGTACCAGGTCACTTACAGCACTTGTGCCAGGCCACTTACAGCACTTGTACCAGGCCGCTTACAGCACTTGTGCCAGGCCACTTACAGCACTTGTGCCAGGCCACTTACAGCACTTGTACCAGGCCGCTTACAGCACTTGTACCAGGCCGCTTACAGCACTTGTACCAGGCCGCTTACAGCACTTGTACCAGGTCACTTGCAGCACTTGTACCAGGTCACTTGCAGCACTTGTACCAGGTCACTTGCAGCACTTGTGCCAGGCCACTTACAGCACTTGTGCCAGGCCACTTACAGCACTTGTACCAGGCCGCTTACAGCACTTGTACCAGGCCGCTTACAGCACTTGTACCAGGCCGCTTACAGCACTTGTACCAGGTCACTTGCAGCACTTGTGCCAGACCACTTACAGCACTTGTGCCAGGCCACTTACAGCACTTGTACCAGGCCGCTTACAGCACTTGTGCCAGGCCACTTACAGCACTTGTACCAGGCCGCTTACAGAACATTTTCAAGTAACACTACTTAACTGAAGTAAAATCCTCACCCTTGAGATCACCTCCTCTCGCTTAGTGTATATATATATATATATATATATATATATATATATATATATATATATATATATATATATATATATATATATATATGTGCAGAATAACCACATATGAAAAATAGAAAATGCTTAACACGTTTTCGGCTAATTCGCCTTCATCAGAGCAAAGTAGAATGACATTCTACTTTGCTCTGATGAAGGCGAATTAGCCGAAAACGCGTTAAGCATTTTCTATTTTTCATATGTAGTTATTCTGCATATTATATATATATATATATATATATATATATATATATATATATATATATATATATATATATATATATATATATATATATATATATATATATATATATTGTATATTGCGTCTCTTAGAGTATATTCTCCAGTTACTTCGTGACTTATTTTGCAATGTTGAGACATAAAGTATTGTGTTAGGAGTGTCCTGTCAGCACTGTAGGCCTCTGCGTAAAGTTATTTACCCTGGGGCCCCTACCCAGGTGAAGGGCCCCCCCCCCCTGTCCAGATGAAGGGGCCCCTGTCCAAATGAAGGGGCCCGACCGTCCACTACAGTACAGGATTCCCGTCAACTAGTTACACAAATGATTTATATTACAAATATAAATTGTAAATAAATCTGAATTATTTTCAAATGATTCAGATTTTCAAATGGGTCTCGAACCCTTGACTTCCCAGCGGGGAGGTCGAGTAATATCCTAGTATATACTATGTGCAGTAACGATCAGAGTGGATAATTGCTTTATCTGGCAAGAGATCTCTCATGGGTAGACGATGAGTCACAGTAACGAGGCTGAAGATATGATGACCAAACCATTCATCAGAAGAGGAGGAGACGACGACGTTTCGGTCCGTCTCGGACCAGCACAAGACTTGATAGTGGTCCAGGACGGACCGAAACGTCGTCGTCACTTCATCTTCTGATGTATGATTTGGTCATTTGGTCATCAGATGCTCATGGTTAATAAAGCAGCATGGGGCCCCTAGAATCATGGGGGCCCCCTAGAATCATGGGGCCCCCTAGAATCATGGGGGCCCCTAGAATCATGGGGGCCCCTAGAATCATGGGGGACCCCTAGAATCATGGGGGCCCCTAGAATCATGGGGGGCCCCTAGAATCATGGGGACCCCCTAGAATCATGGGGGCCCCCTAGAATCATGAGCCCCCTAGAATCATGGAGCCCCTAGATTCATGGAGCCCCCTAGAATCATGGGGTCCCTAGAATCATGAGGGCCCCTAGAATCGTGGGGGGCCCCCTTGGTAACCGGCCACTGTGCCCGTACGTTAAGACAGCGGTGTGTCATTACCACTCTTTAAAGCACACAATTCTTGCCCTAATTGGTACATACACACACACATTTCTTGCCCTAATTGGTACATATATCAACTGATCCTGCAATTACTAATATCCCATTTATCCTCAGGTGTGATGTATCACGATGAAATTCCAATCGATTGAAGAAGATAAAAGGCAGATTCAATATACCATTCACGTGTATTGAATTTGTGGGGCATTTCATTGGGCATCGCAAGAAGCTTCAGACACAGGTCTGGAAGCAGTTGGGTATGTTTGTACTATTGGGTATTGAAAAAGTTCAGATTTTCCTATTTTCTTCATATTCTCTGTTGTGTTTCCCTCCTACTCCTCCTCCTGCTGCTGCTAGCCACACCCACAACCACTTATCCTCAGTCCACAATTCACTAACAGCATCCTACAACCAACCTACAAGTCGCTACAACCATTCCCACAACTCCTTCCCTTTCCTTATAACAGTTTCTCCAACCTAATCACACGCCCCATATTTTAACAGTCCCCCCTTCTTTATAACACCCTCCCCCATCCTACAACACCCTCCCCCCACCCTACAACACCCTCCCCCCACCCTACAACACCCTCCCCCTCACCCTACAACATACAACACCCTCCCCCCCACCCTCTCTCGTATGAAAAGTCACGTTCATGATTCAGCTAAGAAATAAAATACAATCTTAGCAGTTCAAAGTCATGAATTTTGTTTGCGGTCGCTTGGTCGAGAGTTTCGTAGTTAGTAACACAAGCCGATCGAATGACCTTTGACCTCGTAGCCCCTGACCCCTTGACCCTTCACGGGGAAGCAGTCAAGGGGGAGCTTCAGGGGAGAGCCCTCCACACTCTGAGGACCTGACGGCCACATGTACAGGGTTTGACAGGTGTTTGTTTGATTGACAAGCCATGTTTGTTTGACTGGCAGGTGATGTATGGTTGACAGGTGATGTTTGGTTGACAGGTGGCTCGTCTGTTCTCAGGGCTGGAGATTCAACTGATGTTCCTTATTGCAACCCCTGCACTGACCACTAGAATATATGATATATCAACTGAAAGACAGTTCTATAGACAGAACATGTTCACCACCACCAAAGAGAGTTCTGTAGCCAGAACATGTTCACCACCACCAAAGAGAGTTCTGTAGCCAGAACATGTTCACCACCAACAAAGACAGTTCTATAGACAGAACATGTTCACCACCACCAAAAATAGTTCTATAGACAGAACATGTTCACCACCAAAGACAGTTCTATAGACAGAACATGTTCACCAAAAACAGTTCAACAGCCTGAACATGTTCACCAACAAAGACAGATCTATAGACAGAGCATGTTCTCCACCAAAGACAGTTCTATAGACATAACACGTTCACCACCACCAAAAACAGTTCAACAGCCTGAACATGTTCACCACCAAGACACACCATCACCCCCACCAACATACACAACAGCAAAATAAACCAGTTCAGTAACACACACTGAAGCACTTGGCCATTTAGGTTGAGCAACAGACCAGGATAGACCCCTGAGTGTGGTTCCTTTAGCCCTCCCCTTGCCCCCCTGGAAAAGGAGGTCAGAGGTCACCGTGCCATGAAGAGGTCAAGGGCCACTCCGTCGGCTGTGTGACCCCGGTGGAGTGTCAGGTTATCAAGCGACAACACGGGGGTGTAGCGAGCCAAGGGTCACCTTCTCTCTCTCTCTCTCGTGGCCTCCGACAGGCAGGCACGAGGAGGTGGTGGAGGAGGCGTCGAAATCTTCAACTTCTCCTTCACTTGCAATGTTGTTCTTGTTCAGGATGGACAAAGTTGTTCTTGTTCAGGATGGACAAAGTTGTTCTTGTTCAGGATGGACAAATTTGTTCATGTTCAGGATGGATAAAGTTGTTCTTGTTCAGGATGGACAAAATTGTTCTTGTTCAGGATGGATAAAGTTGTTCTTGTTCAGGATGGACAAAGTTATTTTTTCAGGATGAACAAAGCTGTTCTTTTTCAGGTTCTTTGGCCTCGCCTCTTAACCCTTAACTTAAGGGCCTCTCAACCCTTAAGTTAAGGGTTGAGAGGCGAGACTTTAATTAAGGGTTTAGACCCATTAAGTCCTCTGTTATATTAAATTCTAAACCTATGCATGTCGTCTGCCTTCACCAATTCAATGAGTTAATTTAATTAATTTAAATTAGATTAAATATTACACTGACTGAAAGATGTTCTCTCTGATATTCCTGTAACTCATGAAGAATTTATATTCCACCTATTTCCCCTTGGTCGTGTTTCATCCTATTTCAAATAGTCTCTGTCTATTCCGTCAATTCTTTTTAATATTTTGTATATTGCGAACATGTTCGCTCTTTATTCAAACTCGATGATATCTGATCTAGCGTCTGCAATCTTCGTAATTCAAAGCCTCCCAGCTTTGCAACTAATATATTCGGCATACCTTTCGATATTATACCGCTTCGTGTTATCTTTGACGATTTATGAACTCCACGCCGATGTTGCATATTGCAAAACTGGTCTGACATGCGTGATTTAGTGAATGATACCTAAATCAAGTTTCTAAAAGTTAGTCTTAAAGTAGGCCAAACTTACACGTGCAGAAGGTGTTATCAGGCGTCTCAATATACAAGCCCCAGTGTGGTGTCAATCCTTAATTAGTTCGTTTGCTGTCCAACATTAGAAGGATCTTGAATCCAATTTGGTACCCAATATCTGGCTTCCTATAATCTGGACCTATTTTCATTACTTTGTACTTATTGGGGTTAAAATCAAGCAGCCACTTGTTAGAGTGTTAGATGAATCTTGCCGTTTGTTAATGTCCTCCCATACAGCTTCTTTCAGTCTTTCTCAAACGTGAATGAAAAGACTTTTATCTCCTCTGTGGAGTCATATACACAAATGAGAATAGGATATGTCAATTAAGGCAATTAAGGCAATTAAGGCAATTAAGGGATATGTCGATTAAGGCACCGGAAGTACAGCTTGGGCATCCTTGTGTCCTCCTTGTCGTGACACTGTGCTCCAGTACTCACTAATCCACTTCAGTACATTTCCTGTCACCGCCGTAGACAGAAGAAGACATCGGTGGACAGTAGAAGCACAAATGAGTGTTTCTCCGACAAATGAGTCGGAGAAAAGGCAAGGGAAATTTATCGAATTCAACGCGAGGTGTTCGGGAATTTAACACACGTGAAGCAGAAGTCGTGGAAGCCACCTCGACTCATAATTTGAAGAGCAGCAAGCTTGCCTGAACATTAGAACGTCGAAACTGTAAAAAAACACGGGGAACAATAAAAGCCTGGGGCCCTGTAGCTAGAGCTCCCTGTACATGAAGTAAGCAAGAACGCACCTGGGACCAGATTCACGAAGCAGTTACACAAGCACTTACGAACCTGTACATCTTTTCTCAATCTTTGGCGGCTTTGTTTACAATTATTAAACAGTTAATGAGCTCCGAAGCACCAGGAGGCTGTTTATAACAATAACAACAGTTGATTGGCAAGTTTTCATGCTTGTAAACTGTTTAATAAATGTAACCAAAGCCGCCAAAGATTGAGGAAAGATGTACACGTTCGTAAGTACTTGCGTAACTGCTTCGTGAATCCGGCCCCCAAGACACAGAACTTTGAAATACCGCCTGTCGTAATGCCACAAGC